GTGTGTGCGGTGATGTCAGCGCTAGCGAGTAGGCATGACGCCCGCCGCGGAGGCAGGCGCAGTTCGCAAGAGCCCCGCTGGCACAGGCGAGTCGGCGGGCGCGACTGATTCAAACCAAATGTGCTCGGAGAAGGAAAAAGAAAAAAAAAGGCAAAGAGGCAAAGAAGGGAGTTCGAATTTCGATCTTTAAAAGATAAATAAGTCAAAAAAAGAAAGAAATTTAACCAAAGAGCATAAAATCACATATCGGCTTTCACCGCATCGCCGATTATGCGGGTTCGCACGTCCAGCGAAGGCAAGTTTCCTGGGACCGTCGTCGAGAGACCCGAGCCCTTTCCCAGGTTGGAATTTGCTCTGTCCTCCTTCCCCTCCTCCTCCTCCTCCTTCCCCTCCCCTTCCCCAGGCTCGGTTCAAGTTACTCAAGAGGATTTGCTGCGAGCAGCCAATCAGGACGCGGCAGAGCAGTCTTGAGCGCAGGTAGAGGAAAGGTGCAGCCGAGGCTCCTTAAAGGGCCCGCAGCGCTGCGCTTCGGCGCCTACCAAGCACTCACGAGTCAGGAACACGAGAGGATTTCAGATTACATGAAAACTATATACGTACTGTTATATACACAACGTTTTAAAATCCTGCTGCAATTCACCCGAGAGACAATTTATTCACAGATACAAGTCTCCAGAGTTTGACTATAGAGCTGAGCGCTTCCTAACCGCTATATCGGTAGTCGGTATACTGCTTCTACACACATATATCACATCCTAAGTCTTTTAAAAGCTCTGGTGACAGGGAAGCAAACCGTTGGCAGCCCTTTGGCTTTCTAAACGCCTTCGTTTCCTTAAGCCGCGAGGTTCAAATTCAAGCAGGTGGACTGTGGACTCGACAATCCTCCTCTCACCTTGCGACACCGAAAAAACACGAGCAACTGAGCAGTGAAGGACCTCCGGACTTTTATTACAGCTCTTATCACAGCGCCCTGAGAGGCGCACCGACTGCACTCTCCTTCACCCAAAGTTCAACGGTCGACTCGTAGGCATTTCAATAAGACTCAAGCGAACACGTCGAGTTAACGCCAACATTGTAGTGGGGATGTAGCGCCGCCTTGAGGACAAAGCAACCTTCTGACGTACAATGCCATGGTCCGTTGCCCAGTTCGGCAGATCTACTCATTAAGACGTGATTATATAAGTTATTTTTATTTAAACGAGCAGTTGCGTAAATGCCCCCACCTTATAAACGAGTTGAATCTTGGACATGTCATCATTTTGAAATACATTACGGCACGAGTTTTCAAAAATCACTCCATCTAGTCCAGTTGTCCCCTATCATGATTGTCGAATTAATAGGTCATTTGTATTTTCGCGCGACATCATCTCGTGGCCCTTTACCATAAAACAATCAAACAAAATGGTGAGGGGTATCCATAAACTGAAGCAGTAGATTAAACGGTTTCACGAGAGGTTTTAAATGGGACTTGAAAGTGCTGACTGGATCATTCCCACAGCACAGGAAGCACAGCCCCGCAAGAGCTCCCGGGCTGGGACCCCGGAGAGAAACATACAGTACGAGGAGCGCACGGGGCGTTGGGGCGTGCAGCGTGGTGACAGGTCGCTGATCTAACAAGAAGGAAAAGTATTCAGGATCATAGGTGAGCAGCAGTATTCTGAATCTTCCGAAATCCACAGGATTCCCCGTGCTAGGAAGCTAACAGGTGACACGTGCTCCACCGGTTTACTTTAGTTTTAAATCTGATCAGCCGATTCATGAACATGCTGCAACTTGATAAGGACAGGTCTGGTGACAGCGGAAGCATTACAATCACGTAAGGTTAACACAGGCACAATGCAATTCTCCCATGTTCTTACTTCTCGTATCGAATGCACCTGTCTGTGTCACTGTTTACCACGTTTTTACCATGATTCGGTTGCGCTTAAGTACCCTTCACTCTAATTTTACTACAGTTTGCATGACATAAAAGTTGCTGTCTAGACTGCAACCTAAACACTCTAGAGGTAATCTTTTTTAAAGAAAGATTTGATAAAGCATTTAGATTGGCAAATTGCTCTGCAGTTTATTACTAATGTGGCTGATGCTTTTGTCCAAAGTAACTTCTGTTTGCCCGCAATTATACAGCTGGAACCCACAACCTTCCATTTCTGAGTCAAATCCCTAACCGCTGCGCCCCCAACTCGTCTCGCCATTCTGAGATTTCGTTAAGATCTTTAGAAGAAATGACTGTCGACTCCAGTTAAGATTGTTGTTAGGAAATCCTTTATTCTGTTATATTGTGTCGATCACTTAAATCGCAACACGCGCCTAAACCCCGCAAATTAATCTGTATCGGAGTAACAAGTTTTATACACTTCTGTCTGCGTGCTGTGTTAGTTTAGTCTACAAAAAGAAAATAAACATGTACTGTACAGTATCTAAACCTATTTTATCAATCGGTTTTCAAGGATTTTCTAAAGTCAGTTCCGTTTTCTTTTCGCTGTATAAACCCCTCCATCCTAATGTCCTCTGGTGTTGTGTCTAGAATTACTAGACAATCTAGGATCCACAAACCTTTACACTCCCACTTTTTAACAGTGCATCCGTCATGTAGGAGCTACCGAAGAATGAATTCATTGGCACATTCATTAGCCCGACCTCCTTTCCCAATTTTCCTGTTCAAGAACTAAGAGCCGAAAGAAGGATCAGTGGCTTTATCTCAAGTTCTTCTTTCTTTCAAGCAGAGCTCTGGGTTCCTGGTCGAATCGCGATAGCTGCACAGCAGAAATCGCCATAATGGTTTCGTAATAATCGGAGGACGGAAAAGTGTGGAAAAAAAGGGAAAATCTGAAAACGTCTCTCTATAATTTGCAGAACACTGGCATCTTAAAGACGAAAATACAAAAACGAGCTGTAACGACTTCCGTCGGAATCGCAGGATTCTGACATTAAAAACAAATCGATTGGACAGACAGTACATGATTAAAACTGGGGCAAAGTGCAGACCGAGCAGAGAGGACCGACACCGTGGAGCCCTTCGGATGAGGTCTTGCTGTTTGTCAGCTCACAGAACTTTTTGTTACAACACATTCCATGTCTTTCCAAGATCGCACCCGGCTGTCTTGAATAGCAGTCATGTCTCCTTATAGCGTTGGCTTAAAGCGGAGCTGGCTTCATCTTCTTCTTTGGGTTTTCTGGTTCGGACTTTGGATACCACCTGCGTGCCCGCACCCTCAATGTCTGGATTTCAAGCCTCCCTTCAAGCCGCCAGAAGAGCTCACCTTTTGCGTGATGTACAAGGATTTCGGCTGCTGCGATGCGATCAAAGACCAGGAGCTAATGGCTAAATTCTATCGAATCATGGACAACTTCGATTATCACGGATATGCGACGTGTGCGGGGTACGTGCAAGACATTATCTGCCAGGTAAGAGTCGTGAATGAGCTGACTCTTAACAGCCCGTGGGATTCCTGCAGTTTTGTATTTCTGATTGTTATTTTAAGACAATGTGACTGTTTTCTTCTAACGTAAGGAAATGTGCCTCAGTACATTAGCGTACTGTTGTGTTCAATGTTGAACCTTCGGTAAAGCACAGTGACCTCTTAAATGCACGCTAGAGAATCAGCTCGAGGTAAAAAATGAGACCATTTGAGATTAGAGGAGCCAGAGAGAAGGAGGCGTAGACATACCGTTCACATTTACTGCAGCAAACTTTTAAAGAGAAGTATGGACCCCAGGCAGTAACTCTGGACACTTTGACACGTAAATCGCAGGGAAACGAAAACGAAAAATGTTTCCCCTAATCGAATCCTTCTCGGTTCTAGCCTTAGTTTGACCCGCGTCAGGCTATCAAACACATCGCTCTGTGCACTTGATTAGATTGGCATTTACCTTGACCTGCCGCAAACACAGCTTCGGTTGTCACACTGCATTTTGAATTTCCCTATCCTGCTCGGTGTATTGTCATCCTCGACGGTAAAGTAGTACTTGATCGTATCCGCTCACAGCTCTGTATTGGCGAAGTGCTCTGCTGGAGCTGTACTGTCCGCAGCAGGCGAGACGCAGGTCGCGCTGTGGGCTGTGCGCCCTGTCAGAAGGGCAGTCCCAGCAGCGGTCTCAGTTGTCTTGCTGTTGGCTGTGTTCAGGAGTGCTCCCCGTACGCCGCCCACCTGTTCGACGCCGAAGACCCCAGCACGCCCGTGCGGACCATCCCGGGGCTCTGCGGGGACTACTGCTCCGAGTTCTGGCTCCAGTGCCGGACCGCCATCACCCTCCTCAGCGACGACATGCAGCTGGTGGAGCTGCAGGAGGACCAGGAGCAGCTGTGTCAGTACCTGGAGCTGGGGGACCGGGACTACTGCTACCCTGGGCTCCTGGCCAACGAGCGGCTGGCGAGGAACCTGGGCCGCGTGACGGCGGACGCGGAGGGCTGCCTGCAGCTGTGCCTGGAAGAGGTGGCCAACGGCCTCAGGAACCCGCTGGCTATGGTGCACGCCAACGACGGCACCCACAGGTCCTTCATCGCCGAGCAGGTGGGGCTTGTCTGGGTTTACCTGCCCGATCGCTCCCGGCTGGAGAAGCCCTTCCTGAACATCACCGAAGCAGTGCTGACGTCACCCTGGGAGGGAGACGAGCGAGGCTTCCTGGGGCTGACCTTCCACCCGAATTTTAAATACAATGGAAAGCTTTACGTCTATTACTCTGTGGAGGTGGGTTTCGAGGAGAAGATAAGAATCAGTGAGTTCAGAATTTCCCCCGGAGACATGAATACTGTGGACCACAGCTCAGAAAGGTACATATGATGGTTTTTACACCTAATGAGCTCTGCTTGGAAGCAAAGGATGTCAGAGCTGATGTGTTCTAAAGTTATCAATTTTGTGTAGGTTTCTGGAGGTGGAAGGTGGGATTTTAAACACGCCAGTTCTTACAGTTCTACTTTTACATTTTCTTCTTAGGATTATTTTGGAGATCGAGGAACCAGCGTCAAATCACAACGGAGGTCAGCTGCTCTTTGCTGATGATGGATATTTATATATCTTCACTGGAGATGGCGGAATGGCAGGGGATCCTTTTGGGAAATTTGGAAATGCTCAGAACAAGTAGGTTTAACAAGGTGGAACTTTGATGTTCCCAAGCGAGTGATCAGAGAGTGATCAGAGAGTGTAGATGACCATATTTTATAAAACAGCCTGGCTTTCTACAAAACTGTTAAGTCCCCATGGTTGCGTGTGAATTGGAGCTCCCCTTGAACGGTGGTGGATGTCTTGACACCTGTGAATCTGTCAGCCCCGCTGTCCTCTTTGTGTTATTTTGTGTTGTGTTTTTTCGTGCTGGTATCAGTGCTGTCTCGTTCCTGACACGGGCCTCGCTCTGTTGTTTCGCACCAGGTCGGCCTTGCTGGGCAAGGTTCTCCGGATCGATGTGGACGATAACGAGCGCGGGCCGCTGTACCGAATCCCCCCGGACAACCCCTTCGTGCGCAGCCCCGAGGCGCGGCCCGAGGTGTACGCCTACGGCGTGCGCAACATGTGGCGCTGCTCTGTGGACCGGGGGGACCCCCTCACCAAGGAGGGGAAGGGCAGGATCTTCTGCGGGGACGTGGGGCAGAACAAGTACGAAGAAGTGGACATCATCGAGCGAGGAAGGAACTATGGCTGGAGAGCGAGAGAGGGGTTCTCCTGCTACGATAAAAAACTCTGCGCTAACAGCTCCTTAGGTAAACCCCACTGGTCAGCATCTGCTTGTACTCCCTCGTTCTTCCTCATCATTTCACTGGCACCTTAATTATGGACTGCTCGCATCCTGGCTTCAGGAGGGAGCACTCACCTTTGTAAAACTGTGGTGCTTAAAATGCAAGTAAGCAATATAATAGGTGTAAGTTTATTTTTGTGTGTGTGTGCTGCACCACCTATGCACAATAACCTTAAAAGGTCAAGGTAACAATATAGTCTTGACTCTCCTTTAGGTGATGTGCTCCCTATTTATGCCTATCCACACAAGAAAGGGAAATCAGTCACCGGAGGGTACGTCTACAGAGGCTGTGAATACCCCAACCTGAATGGCATGTATATATTTGGAGATTTCATGAGCGGGTAAGGCCACAGGCACTCTTATATCCTTCCCAAGTCTGGCGTTCCCAATGGACGAGTCTAACAAAAACAAAAATTCCTACTTCATAAAAATGAAAAAGGACATCCAGTAACTTAAATTGTTTTTTTTTTTTCACATTGTCCTATCTTTTAAATCTTTGGTTCAAAACCTGTTGAAAATTTTCAGTTCTTGGATATAAAATATTAAACAGAAGCAGAGAAGAAACATAACATTTTCTGAAGGCCGGGTGTGCTTTTCCGGGAGAAGTAGTGAGATTCTGCATGGTGCCTCCCCTGCAGGCGCCTGATGATGCTGCAGGAGAGCAGGCAGAGTGGGCAGTGGGACTACCACGAGATCTGCATGGGCACTGCCCAGGCCTGCGCCTTCCCCGGCCTCATCAACAACTACTATTCTTACATCATCTCCTTCGCGGAGGACGAGGCGGGTAATTTGCCCCGCTTGTGAAATCTTGTTAAAATGCTCAGTCATGTTTTTATTCACCTAGACATCTTGCACATAATTCGTCTGACCTTCCCTGCTGTTTTTTGTAGGGGAGCTGTACTTCATGTCCACTGGAATCCCCAGTGCAACCTCGTACTCGGGGGTCGTGTACAAGATTGTGGACCCCTCACGGTAAGGGAAAGGCCGGAATACCGCTGACATGGCAGAGGCACGAAGGACATCAGCAGGCTTAAAAGATAAGGAAGGAAGGAAGGTGTCTCCTAAAAAAATAACCATATAGGCTGCAGTAGTGCCATAGCATTGAAATCTTCTTAATCGTCTTAGAAATCGTCTTAGATATCGTGTCCTACTTAACCGAAAGTCCTCTTCTCAACATCCTTTTGATGTGAAACACACTGTCATATTTCTGTGATTGTCGAAATGAATTGCCGCTGTACTCTGTTGTTAAGGTTTGTAAGCTATTATTTAAATTGATTTTATGCTGTTACAGTTACAGTACATTCTTTCACGTCTCTCTGATGAAGATGTTTAATAATCTAAATTATGATTTTGCATTAAATGTAAGAACATTTCATTAGGATTTCTTTCATTGTAATATCTTTTTAGATTACCCAATTATATGGATGTTAAAGACTGAAGAAAGTCTGTTCACCTCATCTTGGTATTGAAGCCACTGTAATTCTAAGCTGACCGTCAGATAACTGTTCAACAGCGATGTGAAAAGGGTTGTTTCGTACTCTTCTGAAAGAGAGAGGGTTACCGTGTGTTCTCTCTGCTCCTTTATATTAAAACTGAGCTCCGTTTCATGCTGAGCTGAGCAGACTGTTCGAGTGCATATCCAGGAATTTCCTTGTGCCATCTGATATGGCAGCTTTCCTGCATACCAAAAATAACAAACCAGCAGAAGTTATTAAATATTAAATACAACACTATACATAAAAATGTCAAATTCAAAGTGTTTTTGGCCAGTACAGTATTTCCATGAGTAGCTGGGATTTCTATCAATGACTTTGTCTCCAGAACGTCTGAGTGAAAGGCTACATTAGTGATTGTATCATATGTTTTTCTAAATGTCTTCCAGAAAAGACTCCAAACAGTCCTGGCAGCAGTACAAGACTGTGGTGTAGAAGTTATTTGTTCTTGAGGCATATTAACCTAGGAGGAATGATAACAACAGTGTCATGCAGCTGAGAGCATAAAGCAGATTCCACAAACATTGGTTAAGCTTTGAGTGAAACATTAACAATATGTTTGTTTTACTGGTCTCAGAGATTCATAAATCTCCCTACAGCACAACCAAAGCAGAAAGTTAAAATGTTGTGCTTTAACTAGCATAGGTTTTAGTAAAACGTTATATTTTAGGAGTGGCAGACTTTGTTCATGTTACTTGTGTTCTTAAATAATTTACTTCATGTCAAGAGCCTCCATTGGTTAGAGCTTTTCTTCTTTCATTATTAAAAATAAAATAAAATATCTGCAGTTTCATTTAAATGACTCAGAAAACCATGCTGGACAAGTAAAGAAGCTCTTATGATTTATTTATTCTTGGCTAAAAGAACAGAAACTTGAAGTATGATTTGTGTATCAAGTTTTAGAAAAGATTGATATCTTTCAGTATAAAAATCATGTGAACCGGTTTGTGATGTTAAAAGACAGTTCTGCAGTATCGGATTCCTGTATAACTGCCCTTGTAATGAACATGCATTGAACATTAGTCCTCAATAATGTGTTTCATTCCTTTTGCTTGTTTTTAGACGAGCACCACCAGGAAAATGTCATTATGACCCTCTGCCAGTTAGAGTTAAAAGCAAGATCATACCGTTCGAACCAAAGGAGAGTAAGTTGATTTTTTTTTTATTTAAGGTACAGAGGACTCTTTTATTTTAATGGAAGATTTTTGAGAGCTGAGATAGTGGAGGATGTTTTTTATTACAAGTCTTGTATAAGTTATGTGTAAGCAGGCGGTGAAAAAAATCATTTCAAAGCCTCGACAAGCTGCAGCGTTGTGGCAAGGCGATGGCAGGCATGTGTGCAGGATGATGAATAATAATAATGATGAATTATACTGCACCTTTAAACGTGGCTTCTTAAAAGTGCTTTGCCATAAAAGCACAGAAGGAGAGGAGAACTAACACAAACTACCGCAGGGCCTTGGAATATAAGGCGGCAGACACAGAACCAATTAAATGAACTAAACATTTTGGGAACCTTGTGAAGGAAACAAGGTCATTTTCCGCCTGAGACGTGTTGTGTTTTACAGAACTGATAGGGGATGTCCTTCCCACCAAAGGCCCGGTGAGGCCCCAGCCGAGAACAACACCGGGCCCCCAGCCGGCGACCCCAGACTGGCTGGAGCAGCTGATCGAGAGGCTGAGGCAGCAGCAGGCGTCCACACGGGGAACACCCGCGGCGCCCGCCACCACCACGACTGCGGCCCCCCGCACGCCCAGGCCGGCAAGGCCGCACAAGGGGGGCCGCAGGAGGAAGGGCAAGCACCGGTCCGAGGGCCCCGTCCGGAACGGCGCCCTGCGGCTGGCAGGCGCGGAGGGCCGGCCGGACCGGGGCAGGGTGGAGGTCTTCGTGGACGGCCGCTGGGGGACGGTCTGCGACGACCTGTGGAGCGCGCAGGCGGCCGCGGTGGCCTGCCGGAAGCTCGGTTTTCGCCACGCGGTCAAGGCCTCCAAGCAGGCGGAGTTCGGGGAGGGGAAACACCTGCCCATCCTGCTGGACGACGTCCAGTGCGCCGGGACGGAGGAGAGCCTGCTGGACTGCCAGCACGCCGGCATCGGCAATCACAACTGTGCGCACTACGAAGACGCAGGAGTGATATGTGCAAACACAGCATATATAGAATATTAGAGTGTAATGTTAGTAAGGTCATCAGGTTTAATTTCCACCCAGAAACATCAAACCTCACTTCTGATTTTTGTTGGTACTGGCACAGCAGTCTACCTCTTCATTACAGGACACTGTTTCCAAATTCAGAATGGCCTTTGAGTTAATAAGCCCTAACAGTTGTGAACTCTGAATAGAGCAAATGGGGTTCAGAGATGATGATCTGAGATTATCTAACTACTGGTGACATGCTGTAGTCTTGTTCCTGCATTGTTAAATGTATGCAGACTTATTATACCTGACCTAAATCAGCACTCAAGTTAATTTCACTTCTTGTGCAGACATACTAAAATGAATGAAAAATCTGGCATTAGCAGTATTTACTTTCCCTTTGTTTTATACATAGCAGTTACTGTACGTCAGTTTTGACTCATACTGGGCTTTGTGTAATTAGTACCCTCCAATTTCTCATCTTAATTGCAATTATATTATATTTTATGTTGTAAAACACTTCTAAATGTTTTCTTTAAGTTACATTTTTTATTGCATGTCATCATTTCTTCCAAAAGATCTATAGTTACAGGAATTGCATGTGTGCCAAAAACACTCTACATAAAACAGACTCATGTCATTACTATGGTGGTAAAAAAGATATTAACATACCTTGTTAACATTTTTGTGCAACTTGGTTTGTACATTTTAAATGCTGAAACACTTTTGGAGTACTACACTATTGAACCATTGTGTGCTAATTTCTTTGGTTACAGTTTTAAAACCTTATTTTAATTTTAAACATAACCTCTGGTAAGGGAATACAAATCACAATTTTCTGTTCATCCCTAAATGTGACATCAACTTTAACATATTTAATAAGTGGACTATATATCTCAACATTACACAAAGATACATAGGTGTTTTTTGTGTGTTTGATCTAAACATTAAAAACTGTTGATTTTAAAATAGGTTTGGTGATTGGATATTGTATTGACTGATTGTGTTGACTAATGGGTTCAACAATTTAGTTATATTGCATGATTAGCATAGAGTTCTGAAGAAGGATCTGAACCCTCTTCCTCGAACCCATGTTGCTATCTTCTTTCATCAGTTTCCTCTGTATTCCCACCCACCAAAAGGTCCTGTTTCAAACCCTCCAACTTTCTCCTTCCTCACTAAACCCCCTGTTCGTCCTCTGCCTCATCAGTCAACTTTGCCTCCTTTTCACTTCCAAAGTCCACAACATATCTGCAGTGTTTGGCCTCTCTAGTTTGGCTTTTGCTCTCTCTGTATTAATATACCCTGCTTTCCTCTCTGTTACTCTTCTCAGTCAGGTCCTGCCTCTCTCTCTTAAGTCTTAATTGTTTTGACAGCCTCCCTGACCTGGGATTTCCTGGCATGGCTCACTCCCAGTTCTTCTCCTAGATCACTGATTGCACATACCAGGTCTCCTGGCGAGAACCTAATTCTGCTCCTTGCTCTCTTTCCACTGGGGTTCCCCGAGGTTCTGTCCTGGGCCCCTACTGTCTTTCTGCTGCACCCACTCTCTCCCTGGGTCCTCTCATGTCTTTTGCTGTTCCTATCGCTTTCATGCTGACGATGCCAACAATGTTTTTCTTCCTTCTGCTTCTCATGTGCTTTTCCATATCCCTGCTCATCTCACAGCCACCTCTTGACCCTTTCCTTTTCTACTCTCACCATTTCTTCTCTGGTACAGTTCTGCCACTTCCTCCTGGTCGACATTCACCCCACTATTCAACTCAACTGCTGTTCCAGGTCCTGGAACTCTCCTTCTCGGAGCACGGTAACTCTTTTGGCTAGCCTGCCTGTCAGTGCTATCAGCCTGCTCCGCCTAATCTAGAATCTGTGCCTTCCCTCATCTGTGTTCATCCTTGCCTGTTTCATGCTCCAATACTCCAGCACTTACACTGGCCCTGTGGCTGCACACAGCCCACTCAGAATCCTGCGTGTTGCTTACTGCTGTCTGTGACCCTCTTCCTGCCCGTCAGACAGCAGTAAGCAACACGCAGGGTTCTGAGTGTAGGTCAGGGCCAGTGTAGGTGCTGGGGAATTGGATAATCTCTTTTCTCTCCCTTCACTCCCTCTTGCCCTCTCCCCCTCTTCAACCTGTCTTACTCTTCAACACCCCAAACATGTCCATTCTCAGCTCTATTCTTCCTAGTAATGTACTGGTACTGGTAATGCAACCTGCTAATTGCACTTAGTCACTATGAACACCACACATACTGTACCTAAAGGGTCTTTAGATTGCTCTTACATTCTAGTTCTTACTGCTTCAGTCTGTATAGTCCAACACCCGCGTTTCAATGTCTATTTTGTGACAGCACATTTGCCATTTTCTTAATTTAATTTATTGGACTTGTGTAGTTGTTTTTTTTTTGTGCTTACACATAATCTATGTTTTTTACGTATTAAACGTGATCCTGAATAAGGGCATCTGCTACACCAATAAATACTTCTAATAATAGCACAAGCCGTCAGCGACGGGAGGACATCGTTGTGTTTCCATTTAATAGAAACGTCAAAAGGTCAAAGGTTGCTGCCCTAAATTTGACGCCAATTCGTTGGGTCCACCGAGAGTGATTGAGATTAGGTATCCAATACTGAAATGGTCTGGGAAGAGACCCATGTTTGAACGGTTCAAAATAGATGTAAATGCATATTTACAAACTATATCTAAATGTAAGAACTCGAAAGCCGTGCGAACCTTATCTTTATTCACCTTTTTTAATCTGTTTTTCATAAACTGTAACTGTATTGCAGTACGTTCCCCTGACGAGGATCTAGATATTGTGTATGTACTCTTGTTTGTATTATATGTATTTTTGTTGTTACAATAAAAAAGGTTTTTTTTTTAAGTTATCGAATACACCTTTCTCCCCTAATCTTCCTCCGCCTCCGGTGCCGTCAGGTATTTCTCCATCAGGACCGGAGCGCCCCTCATCACCCCCAGACCTCGCTCTTCGAGGGCCTTTCTCTGGGGGCGAAGCCTGACTGATCCCCGACCTTCCAGCCGATATCCTTCCCATACCCCGCTCCCTACCTCCCTTTTCAAAGGGGGAGATGTGTCCCTTTCCTCTCTAGCCCCGTCTTCTGCCGTCCATCCCCCTCCGGGATCGGCACACACACCTGTTAATCAGTAAAGGGAAATTAACCCCTGTGAGGCCGCGGCTCTCTTCCAGGGTGCTGTGGTGTGTTTCGTGCCACACGCAACCGCAGCTTGAAAGCAGTGCTGGGAGTGGAGGATGCAAAGGAGGTCAGTGTGTGAATCGGTCCTGGAAGGAAAAAAAACCTGGAGAGCCCCCTCCACCCCTCTGCCCTGAGTACCGCTTGTCGCCAGCGGAGGACTTTTCCACCGGCTGCTCTTATTCAGATCCCGAAAAGTTCAGGTAAACTTCGTGTTGGTGCAACATTTAAAAAATACGGACGAAATGCACACGGATGTGACAGGGTTAAGAGAGTACACCACCGAGCCTTGTAAATCACATTTAGATTTTCTTTTCCAGACAGGGCGTTTGAGCTCAGCCTTCCCGAGTCTGGTACTCGACTGACATCATAGTATTTAAGAGGCTAAAAATGTCCTGTGATCTGATCTTACCGTACCTAGAGAGCCAAGAGTATTGTATACGTGTCTTCTGGAGAATAAAATCTGCGATGGACGCCAATCGAAAGCGTCAAAAACGATTTTTCGGAAGACAGGTAAAACGATAGTTAACAGAAATTATTAGGGTTCATTACATTATTAACGAAATTCAATTGGCTGTCTTTACCTAATGAAAAATGAATGACTTCTAGCTTTCCAACATAACTCACAATCTGTAACACCGAGAACCCGTTCATCGGTGGTGCGCTTGAAAGAGATAGAACTGTTTAGTTTATCTGATGCCAGATGCTGTAGGAAACAAAAAAATGTGCATTCTAGTGATTCCTAATGACACCTAATGATTCCCCCCGTATTTGTTGTGATGTAATACTGCTGTCCTGTTCATTTATTTCGCACCCACTGATTTTTCAAATCATTTAAGAAAAACATATTCTAGGTGTATTGGCTCTAGCCTTCTAGCCATTTATGTAAACTACTGAAAAAGTGAGACGTACAGGGATACAACAGCCCGTCACATTGGGGCGCGCAATTGTGATTCTTAGAGGACCGGAATCGATATTAATATTCGTTTTCACGCAGATACATAAATTTTAAAAACATGGTTCTCCTGTTACTTTGCCCGACTTGTTTTCCCGAAAGCAGGGGGATAAGAAGGAGTTTTTTAGTGTGTCCCTCCACGACGACCAGCGCGACAGCGGCGTCCGGCCGCCGGAGGGAGTCGTCGGGCGCGTCCGAATCGCAGGAAAAGTCCCTGTTGCCCAGCTTCACGGCCGCGGCTATTACCTGCGGTCGCCAGGCAACTGTTGTTTCCTTCTCTCTGATTGGCCGGCGGCGGTGACGAAGAAAGATGTGCGCTGCCACCGCCCCCCACGGCGTTCATGTCTGTGACGCAATAGTGGAGAATGTTTCAGAACGATATTATTTGTAACGAGGCCGATTGTGTTCAGTCTACCCGTCTGAACGCTATTTATAATCTGTATCTGGCAGATAAACTCTATTGTTTGCACAGGTTCACGGCGCTGCTGAAAATCCTGCGATGAAATTGCGCGAATCTAACTACTCGACTTCCGCATTTCAGAGACGCAACAATTAAAATTAGGACAGATATAAACAGAACAAATCTAAATACACAGGAAGAAAATTCTAAAAAGAAATTGAATATTAAAATATTTAAAGTAGTGTGTTGGTGATGGTACCAGCCGGCTCCATAGCTCAGTGGTTAGAGCACTGGTCTTGTAAACCAGGGGTCGCGAGTTCGATCCTCGCTGGGGCCTCGTGTTTTCTACTTCCTTTTTAAACATAACATCATATACAAAAACTTCCGAAACAAATAAAAAAAACTGTCACAAAGCAATTCTTTGTTATACTCTTTATTAAAATAGCGTTCAGTGATCAAAAACCCCCATGCGAACCATTTAGTAAATTTTCATAAATTTACATTGACATTTTTACAGAGCATAGCGGAACAGTACACACGATAGGTACAGTATAAAGTCTAATGTTTCATAGATCAAAACGAACTTCACGTTAAGTGTAATAAAATTTTAACAACCACACGTGTATTTTAACCAAAAGTGAGCAAGAAATCATTTTAAACATTCAGCGAATGCCCACCAGATGTCACTAGATCTCCAGAGGACACGTTGAGTTCAATTTACACAGAAAATAGGAAGACGTATTCCGGTTATTGCTTCTGTTGTTATACATACATTCTGCGCATTGAAGCCGAGAGATTCTAGTGGAAACACGAGGGCCAGCTGTGGCTTGTGAGTTGGACTCGGCAGAAAGGGCTGTGGGATTGGACCCTTGGCAACAGGCTGCAACTGCTCAAACACCCAGCTGGGTAAACAGTGACTCAAGGAATACACAGTTTGTTCCCCATTATCTTACCTCACTGAATCAAATGAGAAAAGCGTATCATTATTACAAATGTTAAAAAGTAGCACAAATTGTTGTTTTTTTTTAAGAAAACAGGAAAGCGGTAGCAGGCCAGTAAACACAATTGAGTCTTTTTTAAAACTTGAGTAACATCCGTTTCATTCTGCGGAAAGGGAAATTCTATCTTTAAAAGATCAGAATTCAGAAGAAAATGCACACAGAACTAGTAATGAAGTAATGAATCAAACTGAATGGTGACAGTGAGATTGCAGAGAGATTAAAGCCTGTGCACCAACATCTCCTGTCACCAGTTTTCAGATCAGTTCTCACAGCAGGACAGCAGAGCCCACGTGATTTTCACCTTGGGGATATACGACTGATCCTAGCGAACCCACACATTACAGACTTACATTAGATGAATTCCCAGATTTTTAGGATATTTTTCACACTAGTTCAGGGTATTTTAATTTTGTAAATTAAGACTGAAGAAGAAACAAAAAAATAATGATTAACAGCCAAAAAGAAGCCAGAATCATAATATAGTACTCAAGCTTTAAAGCTTCATTTTCAATGACAGGCCATATCATACAGGAATTTGATTCCATATTCTTTTAGAAGAGTGCGAAAACGTGATTTCTGTTAGTACAATAACATTTATGAATTCCTTAAGGCAGTTTCATCCCACTCAACAGCAGCCCAGATCAAGAGCCCTTTCTGCTGTACGGGGTCACTCTGCACACCACTCCCCCGTGAGGCCTCAGTGTTCCTGTGTCCATTATCCCGTACGGCTGTCCTGGGACCAGCTGGAACTCAAACCTCTGGAGCAACTTCGCCATCACAACCTTAGCCTCCATCTGTGCAAGAAAAAAAAATCTTCATCAGGACTGCTGCGATGAGGGATGAATCAAGATGAGGTCCTAGAACACAGCCATTATGTGGGTACTCCTTACTTGTTGGGCTGATGGCAAAAACAATTCTGATGGCAAGTAAACAGGGAAACTCAAGGCAAACTTTTCAAGCAAAAATTTTCAAGAATGTGGATGGAATTTCAAAATCAATGCAGTACACCACACATCTTCCTGAAGACAAAAGCTGTCACCAAGCAAAATATGAAAGCAATTTTATGCCCATAAAAAAGTACTAGCTTTTCATATACTGCATATTCTCAGAATTTTCCCAAAGGGTACCAAAACCTACAGTGCTTGAAAAGAAAACTCCAGCTTTCAAAGCTTTAAATTCACATGAAACTGATTTTTTATTTCTGAACGTTCCCCTTGCAAATGTAGCCATTTCATTAATTAAGGAATAGCTGTACTGTGATCAATTATGGTGATGTAATAAGACTACAGTGTCTGTCATGACTGCTGCATGTTTCTGCTTTGTCTATCAGTTAAACTTTGCAGAATTGAACTGGCAACTTTCTCTCTCTCCCTCACCCCTGGAGAAGGCTCCTCAGCTGATATATATATGCAATATTTCTTTTCCTTTCATGGAATGAGCCTTAACTTGTTCCCTTGCAGCCTGCGCATGCTGACGCAGCTCCTAGTTCAAACCTAAACTGACGTCCACCTCTTTACCTGAACCCCCAACCCAGAAAGCAGGAAGCCTCACCTGAGAGAAGACTTGTCCCAGGCAGGAGCGATGGCCCAGCGCAAAGGGAAAGTAGCAGAAGTACGGCCTAAAATAAAAAGGCACACTCTTAGCATCATTCCATTATTTATTTAAATAGCAAGGACTTGTCTTTTTATTCCAATCATCTCTCAATTACCCACCAGCACCATTGACTGCCTCGATAATACAAATAGGAATTTTATTCCGTTTTAGGCTACGATGCACAGAAAACCTAAAGGATCCGGATAATCCAGGACCTGAGTAAAAAGACTTAAGACTGTAATCAACAATAAGACAATTTTATCCAACATCCTTTCCATCGTGCTCAAACCTCAACACATTTAGAAATGTACACGTGGGAGGGCCAGTGTTCATTCAGAAATCTAATCACGCTCTTTGTCCACATTTGGTCACTGTTGCAGGACCTGTACAGGTGTATCTCACTTCCAGGTAAGAGCTTGTTTCAGTGCAGTGATTAACTGTACAGGTTCGTGTGAAATTCAAGCACAACAGGACAGGGAAACGGGAGGGGGGATGTACATGGACTTACTTTGGAGCATCTGGATGAAATCTGTCTGGGTCAAATTTCAAGGGGTCTTTAAAAAACTTCTCCATTCTTCCCATGATATAAGTGTTCAGCTGTTAAACACAAGAAGTACCACAGTAAACACGAACATGCAAGGGAGAAAGCCGTCTGAACTACCCCATGCTTCCGCCTGCTAGTCCCACACTCTGCTGTAGCTCCTGCTGCACTCTGGTCACTAGTTCCAGAAACAGGGCAGATGTGAGAGGAGGACATTGGGATGTGCTCCTTGCCTGGCTGCATTAGGCAGGACACGTCCGAGCGGGTCAGTTTCTGCAGTGCACACACACAGTGCTCAGTGCCACACAGCAGCAACCCTTTGCATGAACACATGCAAAATATTCTCTAGTATCGATACATACTGAGCAGCAAAAGAAACTGACCAAAGCGCATGTTTTTTTTAAAAAAGGAGATAGATTTTGATGCTCAGTATATTGTAATAGACAATAGAAGAGGATGCAGGATTGGTTCAGACACCAATTGTAATAAATAAGGGTATACACAAGGTCAAATTAAAGTTTAAAAATAAGGGCCTCATACCAGCTTACCTGGAAAGAAAATTGCTAAGAGTCAAATAATACAACAGCAGTCAGGGAGTGTTGAGCATATTCACACAGATTCTATTCTCCTGGCTCAGTGCAGTTTCAGAACAAAAGAACAGGTAATAACTTAACAGACACTTAGGTCTATTTACAAAACAACAAAAACACCAAGCACAGTGATTATTTACAAACAATTGGATTCAGCATGATTTCCTTGGTCCTGCCTTTTCCAGACTGCTCAGCTTCAGCTAAGTCTCCACCATACTGGGTCTCTGTGTGTCAGACATACTGCATGTGTCCCTTTCAGATGCTGCAGGGATCTAAGAAATATTAAGGCATAAGGGCTTGGCTGTGCAATAATCCCTAGAGAGACCAGCAACGGTATGCACAGACTTCAGTTTCTTTTATTTCCTGGCTTTTGTTTCTGTGTCAAGCTCTGGTTTCATGCTTCATCTTTGAACAATTGGGAACATAAATGGGGAATGAGACCCGATAAACCAACTTGTTACAACCGCAAGGAAGACCTACCGTCACAGAAGCCCCTCCAGGAATGAAAATCCCTTCAATGACCGAGTCCTCAGCAATCCACCGAGACGTGCCGGGGCCAGGGGGGTACAGCCTCAGAGACTCCTTCAAGACCTGTGGCGGTGCCCAGAGGAAAATCCGCAGTATTGAGGTGGGATCCGCCTACAGTACATACCGTACCCACACAGCCATATCACCCTGCAACTCACAACTGGCAACCCACTGAATCCTAAGTACCTGGATGGGGGACCTCCTGGGAAAACTAAGGTTGCTGCTGGAAGAGGTGTTAGTGAGGCCAGCAGGGGGCGCTCACCCTGCGGGCCATGTGGGTCCTAATTCCCCAGTATAGTGATGGGGACACTATACTGTAAACAGGCGCCGTCCTTCGGATGAGACATAAAACTGAGGTCCTGACTCTCTGTGGTCATTAAAAATCCCAGGGCGTTTCTCGAAAAGAGTAGGGGTGTAACCCCGGTATCCTGGTCAAATTTCCCATTGGCCCTTACCAATCATGCCTCCTAATAATCCCCATTTATGAACTGGCTTCATTTCTCTGCTCTCCTCCCCACTGAGAGCTGGTGTGTGGTGAGCGTTCTGGCGCACTATGGCTGCCGTCGCATCATCCAGGTGGGGCTACACATTGGTGGTGGTGGAGGGGATCCCCATTACCTGTAAAGCGCTTTGAGTGGAGTGTCCAGAAAAGCGCTATATAAGTGTAAGCAATTATTATTATTATTCACACACGGACTCTGTACGCCCAAAATCAATGTCTCTCGTTACACCTACCTGGGTCAAGTACGTTAACTTTCCAAGGTCTTCATAATCTATCTCTCGCTTTGAGCCAAGCACATCATCAATCTCATTTCTGAGCCTGAAATGAAAAGATTTAACTTTCCAGAACCCTTTCTGGTTTTCTTCCTTACAAACACTGCACTTGCATCAAGGCTTCTGTGCACAGGCAGCAGCTCACCTTTTTGTTATCTCTGGCTGTCTTGTTAGCTCCATTATTGTAAAGGCAATTTGATTGGCTGTCGTTTCTTGCCCTTAGGAAAAAAATAATAATTTAATATGTCATTTTCTTGCAGTTCTTAGGGTTGTGGTAATTTCCTATTAATATAATTATAATAAAGGATATGGCCTGATAAATATTTGGTTCATATATACCGTAAGAAGGTAGTTTTAAAAAATCTAATACAAGAACTGCCAGAGAATGAGAAAGGCTACAATTCTCACCGGCTACAAAAAATGTTACGAAGTTGTCCAGCATTTGCTCATCATCGTAGTCTCCATGTTCCTCTAAAACAGAAAAAAATGGATTTAATTTAAAACTTAAAGAGAAATACAAAAACATGATCATTAATGTCTTTCTTTGCAATCCATTATGCTAAATGTATTACATGTGAGTGACTGAATGCGAGAATTTCTGTTCTAGTTCCTTTTCAGGCTCATCCAAACTGAGCCAAATCACTGCTCCTTTTCAAAAGGGCAAATAAATCACGTGTAAACCTTTTCAATCAGTACTGCCCCTCCTTCCAGGGTACAAGGCAATAGCATAAAAAGGAATCTGCAAATGTATTCCCCTACCTGTAAGGAAAAAGTGATCACTTCAAGTATAAAAATGCATTAGACCCACTCAGACTTATTTATGCTTGAGCAGCTCCTAGCATAACTCCAGTCACCCAGTGACCTAACCCTTCCCCTTGTGAGTCTAACAGCTGCACAGGTAAAGATGAACTATTTATACAATGAGTTACCTCAGAGTTTAACCATATCAAATTCTGTTATCTAAGCATCCTTAGTGGCCTCCTGTTCAAACACTACCACAGAACCTTACAACAAGGGGCTGCGCACCCACACCACAACGGGCTGTGCAAACCTCAAACCTGCGTTCTTTTTCTCTTTTATTTCATTCAGGCAATGAATTGGTTAGAAGTTGTTTCTATGGAGTGCCAAATGCACTAGTTTTGTAATTATTTTCTAATATGTGTTATTTTGGAAAGCTTGTATTTGATATCTATTTACAAGTAAGCGTGCAATCTAATTTTTCTTCTAGACTTCTAAGAATGCTATTTTCAGAGAACCTAACAATTAATTATACACACAGTTACAGCTTCAGTGCAAGAAGCACATTTCAGACACTGATTTTCTTGTCAGCTTCTTCTAATGCAAGTGAGACCAAAGCATTATCTCTGCCAAAGATAAAAAACAAAAATACTCACAGAGACACTGGATTACTTTGTGCTGTCTGAATTTTTACCCTGAAGACAATTAGAGCATTTTGACAAGCTAGCTTCTGATCGAATGGTTCCTTCTTAAAACATTTTTTTTAATTTAAACTTTTTCACAAGACAAAGATACTGCTAAGATACCTGCAAAGGGATTTATAATTAAAAGATGCACCTGTTTAGCATTTGTTAGCTGTCTGAGTGTTTGATGAAACTAGATGAGCTAGGAGGGCCTCCTCTGCTCCTTATAAAAACCAGCAAACGAGCGTACTCCTGGATGGACTCGCCTGCACTCTCCAGAATCCGAGTTAAGATGTCTCGAGGAACGTCCTCCCCAGCTCTCACTGCTTGCTTCCTCTTTTCAATGCACTCCCTTCCAGTTCTGCGAAGCAGCACTGCAGAGTCCTCCACTTCTTTTATAAATTTCCAGTTCCAAGGAAAAAACTAGGGAAAGAGGGAAAAATGGGATGGGAGACTCCAGAGAAAGGTAAGGTTGCTGCTGGAAGAGGTGTAAGTGGGGCCATTAGGGGGCAGCCACCCTGCAGTCGGTGTGGGTCCTGCTGTTAAATTTTCAGAGGGCAGAATGTTATTTCCATATTCTTTATAAAACTGTAGGAAATGGACTGATGACAGACCTCGATCATGACCCCTGCTACAAACAGCACAGATTTATTTTGCTTACAGCTATTGAACTGTTGATGAGCTTTCTGTCTTGATGTTTTCTAATTAGAATTAAACTAAAAACGAACTAAAACTAATTTTATTTTGAGACACTTGTTTTGATCCCATTTTCCCCATTTTAGTCATCTGCGGTACAAAAAGATGTTCCTGATAATGTTAGATCGATTGATATTTTGCTTAAACATCAATAATATGAAAATCATTGCAAGATTTTGCATTGCAATCTGGTGATTGCATTTTCTCAAAGCAGTCAGGAGTAAGTTTATACGCTGTAGATTTTAGAACCACACTTCCTCCTTTACAAAGATGAGTAAAACATCTGTCTCCTACCTTCATAAAAGGGTTTCTTACGTAGCGCACCATTCCTTTCAAACACAAAGATATAGCTCTTGGAAAAGGGGTGGTGTCATCATCCAGCAAATTCAACTCCATTCCAAATGCTGTCTGTACAAAAAATAGCAATGGAAAAGGTTTGTTTCACGAAGGGTTAAGAAGTCGGACTTGAGGGAATGGGTGTTTGGCGAGACGGGGGGAGTGGCGCTGTACAGACACATGGGCAGCATGGTGACCAACCGTGGTAATGACGTCCAGTGTCACGCGGTTGACCAGGTGGTGCATGTTGGCGTGTTCCTGTGTCTCAGCCTTTTCCTGCAGCTTCTCCATGAGGCACTCAGCTTTTTCATTGAAGGTGCCCATGAGCCCCTTCAGGTATCTGCCACACAGCAGGAGAAATCACAGCCTGAATCCCCAAACTGGTCCAACCGTGTGTACATTTCATACATGTGACTGGATCAGCTTGCATATTTTGTCGAATGGCCAATTCGTGGTGTTCTACTACCGCTACCAATACTAAAAAGCTAGCATTGCTATCCAAGCGATGACACAGATGCTGCATTTGAATTCAAGCAGCATCCCGTTGGATGAGGATGACGGCGCCAATTCTAGCGAGCCCAGCTCGTTACCCTCTGTGCAGTCCGAGGTGCTGAGATACAGACACCAGAGCACACCTCCCGAACTTTCATTACATGCATGGCCTGTCCTGCACTTCCCATACACTCACTCTTGCATGCTTTCCCACATACAAGGGCAGAGTGGTGGCTCTGTGGCTCAGGATCTGTGCCTGTGGCCTGAAGGATGCCAGTTCAAATCCTGCAGCTGGCAGAGGAATCCTACTCTGTTGGGACCCTGAGCAAGGCCCTTAACCCCAGCTGCTCCAGGGGTGCTATATAAATGGCTGACCCTGTGCTCTGACCCCAAGCTTCTCTCTCCCTGTCTGTGTCTCATGGAGAGCAAGCTGGGGTATGCAAAAAGATGAATTCCTAATGAAATAAATTATATATGGCCAATAAAGTGATCTTATCTTATCTTACATATCCGGTCCATGTTTCAGACGTTCAAGGCCCATTCCTCTACACACTGTGCAGAAAGTGTCCGGTCCGCAAGCGCGTATCTTCATTACACTTTCCACTGCCCCTCGAACCCACATGGAAGCACACTTTACTCTGCCACTGGAACTATACTTGTACCATGGACTAGTTGTGCGTTATTTATGTTTACCATAGAACATCATCACAAGGTTTTTTTTATTTTTTCACAATACATTGTAAAATACATTACAGATATCTGCTACAAAAACACTTCTTGTGAAAAAGGTTTGTCCTCCCTGTGCTGCATTCCAGCATGTGGAATTGGAGTGGATATATAAGAGGAAGGAAGGGTGACACCAGAGGGGACTCACGAGTTGCTGAAGGCACTGTCCATAACTCTGCGCTGTTTGTACCAGTGGTCATGATCCGGGTCAGTCAGCAACCCATTACCTAAAAACCTACAGAGAACATTGCATGTAGATCATTCTCCGCCATCAAGAACTTCAAATTAGTATAGTATTTCAAGAAATCATAAGGATTGTGTTATCCAAGTGTTTTGTATTTAATTTACTTTTCAAATATTCTTTGAACTTTACGTAATCATTGCGCAGAAATTCTTATTGAGACTTGGGCCAATTTGACATCTTAGAGAGTGTGTTAAAAATAAAAAAAATGTTTCATTCTTTGTAAATTTTATGGCTAGCATCAGTTGGTGTTTCCATAAAAAAATAATTCTGCTTTCTAATTTAGTACTTATGAGTAATGGAATATCCTTTTCATTCTAGCAGGATAATCAGCATTTAATTTTAAATTGAAAATATTCAGCCTTTAAGGTCTTTCAGGTAGATTACTTTCTGTTCTTTCAAAGGGGAATACAGATTTTAGTTTCTTTTCTTTGCAGGTAATTGGACAAAATATTTCTCTTGGTTAAAGATGTGAATCACTGCAAGTTAAAAGTCAGCGTAGGTTTATATGAAGATAACACAGGGGTGGTTATACACCAGTGAGCCACATAAATATTGGTTAAAGATTCTGATCTTATTGTAATCTGGAGTCAAGACAGTGGAAATTAAGCAGTTTTCCCCATGACATAGGTGCTGGGAGTGTGAAATGCAAGCAGCAGAGCACACTTCATTAGCTCTTCAGACGTTACAACGTGAGGGAATTCTCTAAATTTACGTAGGATGAAACCTGAATAACTCTGACGCCATTGAAGTCAAAGGCGTTGTGTGCGCTCGACTGGGTCTCTACACAGGCCACAGCAGTTAGTGTCTCATTCTCTGCAAATGCAGTGTCAAATGAAGTTTGTAAAAACTTTTTCCAAAGAAAATGCATGTTGTGGTTTGCAAACTGACATTTACATGATCTTTCATTAAGCAATGCATCTTTGCCCTCTTCCACAAGAGTACCTTTTCCGAAACAAATAAAACAGACGTTTATAGGCGACTGGATCCTTAGGATACTTTGGAGACATCAGAAGTTCCTGAATAATGACATCAGTAACAGCATTTGTTAACGTATGCATTATTAACAAACAGTTGTTAAGACGACTGCAGGAATTTTCAGCATCAAAAATACAAATTTTCAAAAGAAAGACTATATGATAAAAATGCCTAAAGCACAAGCAAATGAAATATACCTGACACTGCAAGCATTTAAAAAGATGCTTTTAAAATCATACTCCTCAGAGATCTAAACACCGAGGAACAGCACTCTTGAGAAGATTGATGCAATGATATTATGCACTCCTTGTTTGTCAGTGTGCACATGAACACATTTAGAGCTGTCGAAAAATATCGTACTCTGATGGCTTTACCTTCACTGCTTCCGGGCTGGTGACGGTCAGCATGACCGTGTGAAGAAAGTTGACGCGATAGACAGGTCCGTACTTTTCCGCCCTAACAATGATAAATGTTTGTGACATGCATGCTGATCTACATGTGGGTCTACTGAAAGCACACAAGACAATAAAATATCTGAACTACTCTCTATAATATCAGGAAAGTTATGTTTGCTCACCATTCAAGGAACTGGTCATGTACCACTCTGTAGTCCTCGAACTTTTTGTTTAGTGTGTAGGAATGTCCCAGAAGAAAGCTGTACAAAGATGGAAAACAGAAAAAGGTTAAAGATCAACAGGAAGGACACAAAACTGGCTGATCTGTAAAACAGTGCCGATAAAGTACTAATGATTCTAGTACTTTACACTGCACGACACCCATCAAAACATCTCAAAACTAAGGTTGCTGCTGGAAGAGGTGTTAGTGGGGCCAGCAGGGAGCGCTCACCCTGCAGTCCATGTGGGTCCTAATGCCCCAGTATAGTGACGGGGACACTATACTGTAAACAGGCACCGTCCTTCGGATGAGACGTAAAACCGAGGTCCTGACTCTCTGTGGTCATTAAAAAATCCCAGGGCGTTTCTTGAAAAGAGTAGGGTTGTAACCCCGGCGTCCTGGCCAAATTTCCCATTGGCCCTTACCAATCATGGCCTCCTAATAATCCCCCTCTATGAATTGGCTACATTACTCTGCTCTCCTCCCCACTGATATCTGATGTGTGGTGAGCGTTCTGGCGCACTATGGCTGCCGTCGCATCATCCAGGTGGATGCTGCACATTGGTGGTGGTGGAGGGGATCCCCATTACCTGTAAAGAGCTTTGAGTGGAGTGTCCAGAAAAGCACTATATAAGTGTAAACAATTATTATTATTATTGTTATTATTATTATTATAAAATTAACACCTTTTCTTCCCAGTTACAGTATGTAATTTCTATCGAGGAGGATTTGAGATTGCAGGGTTTAATTTAGGACTAAGTTGTGTGAAAGAGTAAATGTGAGGAGAAATACAATGTAACAGGATAAGGCAAAGATCTGAATAACATTTTATGCAAAATCATTAACAAAAACGCAGACTAGATGAGCAAATGCCCAGCTGAGCGAATAAGTTTGTTCTAGTCAGTATGAGTGAGGAGCAGACTTTATGGAGGTCGAGCAACCTGTACTGTGTATGGAAGGTGTCCGCTCAGAGTGCAGCCCTATCCTGGCACGGAGGGCACGAGGGGGAAACTGGAGGCAGGAAATTCCGCGGCACACCGGGGTACCCCGATACTCCGACACCCAGCAGGGTCTACCCACTTCTTACTGGTCACTGCCTCGTCTTGCTCTCCATGCGCTTAACTGGAGTTATGTAACCAGTTAACACGGAGAAATAAGTCTGGACTGTGTATGAAATACGACCCCTTTGTAAACTGCAAAATTACTTGAACGTTATGAATTTAAAGAAAAAAAAAAGGCCAGGTTTTGCTTTAAATCGCAACTTTTGTTGAAGTTGCACATGATTTAAGGTCTATCGGCTCCAACTCCCGGCAAGCACGTAAACTAAAATCCCTTGATACAACAGGCACAGGAAAACTAACGGGGGTAGTTAACTAGGTCACACAAAAACCGACGCCATTATTCTAATACGAAACATGCGTACTAATGATGTCTTTGTGTTTAGATAGATACTTTATTGATCCAGTGAGGGAAATTGCAGTGCAACAGCAGCTTAACACACACAACACAGCCACAGTGTAACGAATTATATAATAATAGTACAATACATACAATACAATACAAGAGTTACTCACAATCCGGACACACAAAGATATAATACGGGCATGTGAAAGGAGATCTGACAGCAGCGTTTCTAAAGACGTTGGAACAGAATATCGGAGAGTCCAGAAACCCTCAAACGTTTAGCGTAATCTTTCGTTGCGTTTATTTATGTGTAATTTTAGCAAATGATGACTCTTTGCGTAACTGGACGAAAGGGACTCACCTGTCCCTCGGCGGCCCGGGTATGTGATCAAACTTCATGTGAATGTATTTCACATAGAGACAATACAGAATAAAAGCGCAGAGCAACAGGAAGAACAGATACAGAAGAACGCTGGACACGCACTGCGCGACACTACTCAGTAAAGCCATGGCTGTTGTAAGTGCCACACGGAGAGCTCTCCTTGTCCTCGGTTCGTTTCTGCGTTGTAGAAGTGACCTTTAGAAGTCTTTGAAAAACAATTCCGCCTGGCAACGTTATCTTTCCGGGATCATGGTGCTTGGTGCTGCTGCTCTGGCAGGGAATCGTAGGATAGTATAAACCGAATCGCTTCAGGAACACGACGGATATGAAGTTAAAGCGCGGTAACGCGAAAACAGGAAAACAATGTATAAAAGTGAAGATATTCTTCCACACATTATTTGTTTTTTAAGACATTATATCATAATTAAATGCAGTAAAAAGATATGTCGTAATACTGGATTTGAATGGTTAATGATTTACTGCATTCAAATATGGGTGCTCCACGGTCTATATAGTCGTAGGGTTCACGTGGGTATGCGTCCCCACAGTCGGGGACTCGAACCCGGGTTTCCGGCATCATTCAACAGGGACTCAGCCTCTTGAGCCAAAGGGAAATCTGCCGTTAGAAGCTGCGGTCCCTGCTATTCATAGGGAAGGGCAGGGACGTCACCGCGCTGGTAAGCTGGCTCGAACAACCTGCAATGGTGGCCGTATGTGTTACATCATGGTCAGAGTTTTCTTGTTATTGTAACGCTTACGGCCGACAAGCAGTGTGTGTAAGAGCCGGCGTACCAGAGCGGGTGACGTCACTGCCCTTCCCTGTGATAGCAGGACCACAGCTACTGGGCTGTGGAGAGATCTCTCTTTAGCTCACGGGGCTGGGTTGCTGCAGAGAGACGCGGAAGTCCTGGGTTCGAGCCTCCAGTCGGGATGGGGCCGACCAGATGCGGCAAGGGCGCCCGCCTGAGCCCCCGTTGCGTTACATTATCTTTAATTTATTGGTTTGACTGTAAAAAAATTAGGATGGCATACACTAAATTCCAAAGATGATAAAAGTTATGAAAACAGCAGCAAAGTCCACTTATCCTTTGGTGGCCTATGAGTAATGATTCATCTTCATGTTTTTAGACTTCCGCGCAATCCAATACATTTCAGTTACAATCGCTGATATAATTAAATATGCTGTAAAAAACGTCAGCTGTGATTCTGCTCGAATTTAAGCAAAATAATGAGCACTCTACCACTACCGGTTCTGAAATGGCAAAACCAGATTTCACGATTGCAAAGCATTGCTGACGGGAAAAGAAGCTTGGCAGGCTCTGTCACAGAGGGGTGTTTAAATTAACCGATATTAATGGCTGTCTGGGTAAAAAGCAAAATGTCTATCGATATTGCATTAAATATGCTTGTTAAACGTCTGTCGACTCTGCTACTCTAAAAATACATTTTACGTGCGTCCTAAATTGGGCATGCTACACTGACGGTGGTGACGCATGTTTTTAGTACATTAACTGGAAGAGTCACCCCTGGTTCATGTGTTGAGATGTCTTAACACCAGTTTGCACTACTATTCTCTGTCTTTGCTAAAATGTAAGAGCGGCTCACGGTGACCTCTGGAGACCTTGTGGGTTACCCTTCACCCCGCTAGAAATCACAAGTGAATCCTCGTGATCCAGTGGAGACAGATCCAAGATCTGTTCATCCGACATCACCGTCGGCTTTAAAACCTTTCCTCTTCCCTACGGGCAAAGACATGCTGCTTTCACCAAGCAGATCCGCGTATGATTGTGGTTCCTGTTCTTCAGAGCCATCTCTTCCACCCATGAAAAAAGTTGATATTAAAGCTTACCATGAGTTGTTGACGCATTTTCCGAAATATGAACGTATCAAACGTGATGATCGTGAATAGCTTTATTTAGGAATGTGAAATACTATTTATACTGCCAGATTTAACTCAATAAAATGAATGTGTTAATGGGTTTGACCCTTTCAGTTTCCGCTGTTAACTCGCATCTACAGGGATAGTTCAAAACTGGAACATTAACGCTCCTCTTCAGCTTGCGTGATTCAGAACAGTGAACTGGACACGCCTGTTTCTGTCCAGTGACACTGTGTTACCTGTGACCTACTAAAATAGGAACTTGCATCCCCCTGGTATCTCATACAGAAATGCAACTCATTTTTATCCCAACCCGTCATCCTGGATCAAGGGCTACACAACAGATAAAACATGATAAAACATTCTGAATTGAGATTTTAAGTTGTCAAAGATGACTCAGTTCGACGTCTGTGAAGCATGCAAGAAGGAAAACACCAATTATGCTATTAAGCCTGTTTAAGTGACACACGCTAGACTGAAAATGCAGCATTTAAAGTTAGACATTTCAAACAATTAATATGCAACAGTGAAATCTCTGTGCTGTCTCATGACCATAAACATGACTTTCATAGTATCATCAGTTTTTCTTTGTCTTCGGATTTTCAGCCTTCTTTTGCTGCAGCAATTTTAAAACAATACCCTGTCACCAATGGCAGATTTCTTTCAATAATAGTTAGGGCTGCATTCCACATCCCAGCCAATATAATTGCAATATTTTTGGAAAGCTGTAAGTTAATAAAAAGTATAATGATGTATTTTATGAAGGTGAGTGTGCTGACTCTTCCCATTTCAGTAATGACCAAGGAAAAGTGAAACTGTTCTTGTGTGTGTTTAGCCCAGGACAGGTTGTACTGACAGAACAAGGCATTGACCTCAGACATGCTGGTCCACACACAGATGAGGTGACATAGAGATCTCCAATAGCTGCATGAACACAGACATTTTATTTTATTTGTGCACTAGTTACATTCCTCAACTGCAAACTTTTGTTTTACTTATTCTGAAGCCTCTCCCTGTTTGTACACCCGTTCTAAACACAGAGGGATCTATGTGCATGTGAACACCACTATGTAAGAGCTTACATTGGTAGCCAACTCTGGCTTTTTGCTTGTGTTCCATGACTGCCAGTCTCTGCAGGAGCGCTCACTCACAGGTGGGCTTTGCTGGGCTTTGCGTATGAGTGGACAATGAACTGGGGGTGTTGCTTTCAACTATGTTTACTGGAGATCATCCAGACATCTGTCTTTCCAAACATAGTTTGATTGTGTTTCTTAAGATTTATTTCCAAACCCTTCCGAGGGACCATAAGACTTGTTCATGGAATCTCACAGCAATTCGACATCTGTTTTCATCCATTGAGAAATGGAAAATCTTGACCAAGCTATATATTAATATAAAAGGAAATCTACTCTACGGTATATGTCACCCTGGAGTGAGGTGCTTTACCCCAGTTGCCCGAGTCCAGCCAGCTGCATCCATGGGGCCCAGCAGTGCTGGGGTAATTCCTGTGATGGATCAGAGTCACCTGCTCTCTGGTCCACCTACTGTACCCCTACAGAAACCAGAATGAACTCTCCGCTATCGTCTTTACATTTTAATCTGTACATGTTAAGACTCAAAACTAAAAAATCCTGTTGCAATTATTTTGAAAATAAATTTCACATTTTAACCTAATGGACAGTATGGAGTTATTTTAAAATAACATATAACACTGTTTTTAAAAGAAGTAATTTGTCATTTTGCATATAGCAAAGAGAATTGCTGAGAATCATATTCAGCATCCTTTTGTTTTCTAAAGGCATTGGAGACTTATCTTAAGTGTTGTATTTGAAGAAGCCCTTCTTTAATACCAGCACTGCTCACTACAAACCTTTAATTACAGTCCGTGAAAAAGTATTCACCACTTTCAAACTGAATTAATTTTTGCATATTTTTGCCACTGAATATTGTCAGACCTTCAAGTGGGTCCTAGTGATATAGAAAGGCAGTCTGAGTGAACAAATAACACCAAGGTGTGGTGCTTGTTTGATTTATTTCATTAACAAAGTCATCCAATGGCCAATGTACAGGACAGGTGTAGATGGTTCTACTCTATTTGTGGCTTAAACACTACCACTATGATCAGTAAAACATCCTATTTTATTTTTCATGATGACACAGAATTTTCATTCATGCCTTGCCGCAGCAGTGCCCTGGGTTCAACTGCTGGGCTGCTGTCTGCCGTTTGTGTAACAGGAGGCAGGGAAGGGAGTATGGATTCTGTGCAGGAGAGAGAGAGAATCCCAATCCAAATCGCTAAGCCAAAACGTAATCCAGGACACAAGCAAGGAGGTCTGATAACGGCTGAGACAGCAGGAGAGTAACAGTCCGAAACACAAGACTAAATCGTAGAGGAGGGGACAAGCAAGGAGGTCTGATACCGAGTAGTGACAGTAATAGTAAACGCTGCGCACTTGGGAGCTCGAGGAGAATCCGCAATAGTGAGAAGGGAAGTGAGGAAAGAGGGGAACTGAAATGGTGCCGGGAGTGAACGGTGATGCTGTAGGTACATTAGTGTCGGCGTGAGCGTTTGTTAAACACCGCGCATGTGGGAACGCGAGACTGGACAGAGACGTGTAACGTTTGTGTGGGCTTCCTCTGGGCGCTCTGGTATTCTCCCACAGTCCACAAACATGCTGGTGGGTTAACTGGCTCCAGGGTAAATCGGCCCTGGTGGGAGTGAGTGTGTCTGTACTTCTGCTTGTGCGTCTCTCCTGGAATGGACAGGCATCCTTTACATATGCTATAATATATATATATAACACAATGAATATTGGGATATATAAATGTATATCTTATAGTGTGGAGCAGCTATGTCTGCTGGTGATTTGTGTAAGGATTATTACAGATTTTAACACATCTCCGTGACATTGTAGAACGACTTTGTTATTTCTTTAGACAAACTAGAATTCCTAGAATCTGATTTGCATTATTAACATTACAGCATTCCAAAAGTTATTGTCCCCTAACATTGGCAGAGTCCGCTAAGTTCAGCAAACAGCATTGCAGTATAAGACCATGAATAAGGACATCAAGGGGCTCCTTACAGATAAGTGAATCAAGCCGGGGTTTTTTTTCCGAGCTGAGTCTTTAACAAAATAGAGAGCAGAGGGTATTACCTGTATTTGAGTTATTCAAAGCTGTTATCAGCTTGGCCAGGTGAAACATCTTAACTAGACACATATTAACTAAATATTCTGTATCTGGTTAGCTTTGCAATCAATCTATCTATTATCTCTGCCCCCTAAAATGCATGATAACATCATGTAAAAGATAACTCATTGAAAGAGCAGTCTGACTGGGACTTTTGATTTCTTAGACATGTTGAATTACCAAACTGACACCACATGGGGACAGATTGTGGACAGATTTATCTC